ATCGGGAAAATGAACTTGCGGCCTCATCAGCTGCATCATTATTATTCTGGTACTGGGAATTGAGCTCAGGACCTTGTGCTTGCCAGGCAGGCGCTTGTGCTGCTGAACTACCTCCTGCCCTCCACCCCTTTTTGTTTTCTGAGACCAGGTCTCACTATGCAGTTCAGGTTGGCCTTGAAACTCCTGATGATCCTCCTGCCTCAGCCTCCCAAGTACTGAGATAACAGGTGTGCACCATGCCTAGCTTATGGCCCCGTTCTTCCTTTTCATTTTAATATGGTGACCCCTGGTACTGCACAAACCCTAAGGGGTAGGGGGAGGACAGAGCCCATAGAAGACTTCCTTCTCCTCACCTCCCCAGTGTTGGGCACTAAATCCAGGGAAAACTGGGCTCCATCCCCAGCCCTTTGTATTTTGCAGGGTCTCGCTGAGCTGGCCAGGCTGGGGTCGAATGTGTGATTCTCCCACCTCAGCCTCTGCAGTAACTGAGAGCAGAAGTATGCACCAGCCACCTGGCTCTGCCTGCCTTGAAGGAAGGGATGGCTCTGAACCCTTTTGGTTCCATTTTTAGGCATCATGGCCATTGTGTGTCTTTGCTGTTGTGCAGGTCACAACCACCCATGTACACACCTGCTTGGATGCACTGAAACTGTGGTCTCTCTGGGACATGCCTTTCACAGAAGCCTCCTGCCCAGAGCCTGCAGCCAGCCTCCCGGCGGCTCTTGGCGAGTCCTGACAGGATGCCAGGCAGGAAGAGGCACTGCCCCGCTCCACTCAGGACCTCTCCCTGCTGTAATTTACTCAACCCATCTGGGGCTCCTTTGAGCCGTTTTCTGGAAATGCCACATTTCAAGGGTCTCCCTGTTAGAAAAGGTCAGAGAGTTCATGTGGCCCTTTCATGTTAAAGGAACTTGAAAGGAAAGGAAATGTATATTTTCAGCTTTAGCTATGATTAAGTGGGCTCAGGCCATGAGGACACGCAGATGATTTACATGACATTACATGAAAGCCAATTAGTCTAACAACTTCCGAAAAATATCTAGCTCAAGAGCACCCATTTATTAGTGTGCTTGGAATGCGCCAGGCATTGTGTTAAGCTGCTTTACTAGGATACAGTGATTCATCTAGTCTTGCGGCCTAATGCAAGGCGGGCTGGGCACGACACCTATTTATCCCAGGAAGAGGCTGAGGGGCTTCAGGGCGTTCAGCAAGGTTCCTGGTGTCCCATGGCTGGTAAAGGGCAAGGCCCAGAGATGGAAACTAGGGTTTGCCCAGACCCAAAGCCAGAGCCTTCTCAGGCAGATCTGCAGTCTTGAGGGTCCCAGCCTGGCATCCTCCAAAGGGCAGTCGGGTTCATTTGCATGAAGAGGAAGCCTCATTAAAGCAGGCATGGGAGAGAGGTGGCACAGGCCAAGGGTGAGGCACAGGACCCCCTCACAGATGAAGGGCTGGGGCCACCCCGTGTAGACCATCCAGGTGACTCCCTAAGTTCTCTTGGCGGCCTCTGCATGCAACAAGAGCTGCCCAGAAAGGCAGGATCCTATACAGTGACAACTCACATATAAGCATTCGTGTGCTAGGACCACCAAGTAGATAAGGACTCCCTCTGGGATTTGGGGGGTCATGATGGGACTTTAACTACAAGCACATGGTGGGTAGGTAAGGTGTGGGTGCTGGAGCCAGACTGCCTGGGTCTGAAATATTGACACCCTCATTTTTAAGCAGTGAGCCCCTGGGTGGGTGACTTACTTAGGCTTTCTAAGAGTCAGTTGCATCGTTCATAAAATGAGGATAATAGTTCCTAGGTCACAGGTTTGGTGCAATGGTGAGAGGAGATGATGTGTGTGATGTGTGTGAAGCCTGACACATGGTCATCACTCTGCATGCGAAGCCTTCACACAGCCGATATTAACAGAATCACATGGCCCTTCCACTCCTGGGTGGATTCTGAAAGAATTAAAAGCATCACACCATAGTGATAATAGAGGACTCAGTACATCTGAGTACACCCTGCCGGGGTACATCTGCCCTTGGGGAAGCAAGTCCAGCTCCTGATTGCTCAGGCTCTCCAAGCCCTGCTTAGCTTTCTTTTCTTTGGAACCAGGGATTGAACTCAGGCCCTTGCACTTGCCAGACAAGTGCTTATTCTACTGAGCTATCTCCCCGGCCACCCTTGCTTAGCTCTCCAGGCCCAGATGAACCCCCCACCTCCAAGACGCAGCCCTGACTGCTCCAACACTCAATCTCTGCAGCGGAGCTCCAGTCCACTGTCCGCATATGCTAATCCAGCACCTAAATCAGCTGTAATAATGCAGCTTCTGAAAGTGGCCAGTGGCCCCTGGAGGGCGGGACCCCCTACCTCTCCTGGTTGAGCCCACAGCTACATACATACACAGTGACCAATCTTTCAGCAATCTTTGGGCTGATTTCCCATGGCCTTGGACATCTGACTCCACCCTTCCCTCCCACCCAACCCCTCCTCAGCTCCTATTGTCTGTACTTTCTCTCCCCTTCTTGGTTCCCTCAGCAGGGTGAGGAGTTGGAGCCTGACCCCATAGGGCAGTGACTTCTAGAGTTAGGGATCACACGGCTCTATGAAATATCCAGAGAAACTTGAGGATAGGGGAGTGAATGGATCAGAATAGTGTCCTTGTTTGCTTTTTCCAAATAAAGATGTGTTAAAAACTCTGTTCTCATCATCCTGTTAGTAAAAGAAAGGCTTCACACCAATAAAACAGAAAAACCATAATCTTTGATTAAAGGCTAATAATACCAAGCTGCAAAAAAAAATTACCCTAAGAAAACCAAACCATAAGCACTTGCCCTGACTTCACTCCTTTCTCTGGGGACAGGTTAAGACTGCCAGTCCCCTCGGGGTGCTGGTACTCATTCTGGTCCTCTGGGTCCCCAAGGATCTCAGATCCTGTGAACTATTCTGGAAGAGGGTCTGCCCTAGCTGGAGGCACCCACAGCCACCTCTGGGTTAGGAGGATTTCTACCCAACTTTCACCAGGGATGCTCCTCCACCAGCCTGATGTAGAGCGTCAGGGAACTGATGTAGGGGCGGGGTCGCGTTTGGCAGGAGCCACCCCACCCCTCTAATCTAGGAGCTTTGGAGTCAAACTAAGCAGCAAGCTCACACTGAGGGAAAAGGCTGGCAACCTCAGTGGGCAGGGTCTCTGGTGAATCTCCAGTGCCAAGCTGAGAACCAGTGCCCAAGCCCCCAGCCCTGGGAAGGGAGAAGTGGGTACCCTAGCTACAGGTGGGGGTGGGGGTGGAGCGAGACGCCCCGCTGGGAGGGGAAACATAGGATCTGCGCACAGAGAAGTTCGGCCCTGGTTCTTTGATCGGCGTCCAAGGAGGCCCAGCCTGGACCCAGAGGGGCAGCTGTCTTCCGGCCCGGCTGTGTGCCGCTGCCAAGGGTCCTTCGGGGCCCTGAGCTGGAGAAGCGTCCAAGAACCCTGTCTTCAAAGAGGAGGGAATAGCATGGGGAGGGGGGGCTCTGTTCGCTGCAGAGAAGTCCACACCACCCGTGTCTTGCGTAGACGCAGTGGCAGCGCCCTGGGCAAGCGTGTCCTGCAGGTCTTCGTGAGCGCCTTCCAGGACGCCCAGGCGATCGGGGACGACGAACGCACCAGACGCAGAGTCAGAGTCAAAGGAACCGGGATGCAACTTTCTGATGGAATCCTGGCGGATCAAGGGCCCTACATCAGGGTCGAGTGGACCACGTGGCTCCCCAAAGCCTCGAGTCCCGCAGGGTGTCGGGCAAGTTGTGGGAGAGGGACTGGAGGATCACGTGGACGGCGGGGGTCCGTCCCCCCCTCCTCTGCGGTTCGCGCCTCGGAGCTGCCACATGGTTGCGGGGGTCACTGGTGTGAGGTGGGCCAACGGTGTGAGGTGGGAGCTGCACTGGCTACAGGCGCTTTATCAACCCAGAGGGGTGTGAGTGTTAATGCGATGGGCGGGCTGCTGGAAGGAGGACCCAGATTGGCACAGGGTTGAAGGCGGGGCAGACAGAGCTCCGGGGAGTCCTAACTTTGCTGGGTGCCCTGCAGCCCAGTACAGCCCGGGGCAGCCAGGGCCCTCCGAAGCTCAGCGTTGGTTGAGAGCCACACACAGTGGGTGTTCCCTGCTACTCCCAAGTCCCTAGGGGACCCGCCCCGGGAGGAGACACCTGAGCCCCGAAAGGCAGAATCTTGGTGTCTCATGAGAGACATTGGGGTCAGAAGTTTCCTGCAAAGTCCCCGCCTTACAGGAGAGAAGTGATGATTCTCAAGCTCGTCCGAAGTTCCCCTCGGGAAGAGCGAGCCCTTTAAGACTGTGTCCCGTGGGCGCGACCAGCCTCTCTCCTGGGAGAGGGGGCGTGGCGACGCCTTGCCCCGCCCCCGGCGCCCGCCCCGCCCCCGGCACTCTGCCGGCGGCGCCTTTGATGTTGCGACCCGCCAGCTCCCGGACCTGCTCAGCCCGGCGCCCTCGGCCCGCGCCCACAGCCCGC